AAAGTGCTCAATACAGAGTAGAGCAAATATAATTATTTATTCTAAAATTATAAAATAAATATGTTATAAACTACAAAAATAGCTATTTTGATTTCTTATTCAACAATTGATGTTGCATTCAATACCAATACTTGATAAGACACCAGAAGATATGAAACCAAATGGCTATTTTTTAGTTTATAACATTTATGATATATTATATATATATATATATATATATATATATATATATATATATATATTTATTTATATATATATATATATATATATATATATATATATAGATATATATATATATATATATATATATATATAGATATAGATAGAGAGAGAGAGAGAGAGAGAGAGATAGATAGATAGAAAAAAAAAACAAACACCATGTCATGGTGTTTTTCTTGAATTAAATATTTATGCCGGCATGATTAAATTATTTTCTTCAATTTTCGCACCCGGGGGCACGGAGCTTATGCGCCTATTGCTTATTATTTAGGATAATGGATAGCGAGGTTAGTTCGGTTGACGATTACTCCTAACACACTTGTTCGGTCCTCACTGTATGCCCCGTCCCGTATTCGTCATTAAATAACCCGGTTCGTCATATCGTAAAGCCCATCTTTAATGGAAATGTTATTAAAGACAACAGATATTTGGTTTCGATTAATTTTAATGATCGATTTTTTTTTTCAAATGACGAATGATCTTTCTCTAACAGGAAATTCTGTCAGTAATTGTGGAAGAAAATTAAGAGTAATATGGCCCAAGCTTTCGAAAGTGAAAGCTTGGGCTATAAGTAAGTTCATTACTCGTTTTCGAAAACAATTTTGCGACCCGATATTCGAAAACAATATAATGACTCACTTTGAGAAAGCAATTTCACGAATTTCACTTTCGCTTTGAGAAAACAATTTCATGCCATGTTTGAGAAAACAATTTTATGCCTCGCTTTGAGAAACCAATTTCACGACTCGGTTTGAAAAAATAATTTACCCCTCGCTTTAAGAAAACAACTTTACGACTCGCTTTGTGGAAACAATTTCAACGACTCGCTTTGAGGAATCATTTTCACGCCTCACTTTGAGAAAACTATTTTATGACTCGCTTTGAGAAAACAATTTTACGCCTCACTTTGAGAAAACAATTTCACAACTCGCTTTGAGAAAACAATTTCAACGACTCGCTTTGAGAAATCATTTTCACGCCTCACTTTGAGAAAACTATTTTATGACTCGCTTTAAGAAAACAATTTCACAACTCGCTTTGAGAAAAAAAAATTATGACTCGCTTTGAGAAAGCAATTTCACGATTCGCTTTGAGAAAACAATTTCACGCCTCGTTTTCAGAAAACGATTTTACACCTTACTTTGAGAAAGCAATTTCACGACTCATTTCATTACTCACTTTGAGAAAGCAATTTCATTACTCACTCTGAGAAAGCAATTTCATAACTCACTTTCCGAAAATACAGTTTTCATTCTCCTTTCTTCATGTCACAGTTTTATTTTCTAGACGAGTGTTTCATTATCTAAGAGAGAGAAAGTTTCTATTGAAACAATTCCCTTTAAACGGGGAAATCTTCTTGCCTCACCCAATATTCTAACATTTACAAAGGCCCGAACACTCCCCAATGACATCAGCGGTAAAGATTCCACTGACTTAATTAGGAGGTAAGTCATTGCTTGAGAGTTTTATCAATAAGGCAATGATGTATATGCGTATATACATTTATGAAATCATAACACAAATACGATTTTTACAGACATTTAAGTGAAAGAGCTCAAATTGCGCCCCAGCATCCGATTTTTCCACTCTGGCTCGTGAGCGTTGTTACATCACTGAACACTTGAACTTTTAACCCCGAGTCTGCACTGGAATTGGACAGGGAAACACTTGATTGGGGTGGACATGTTTGTCTGCTGTACATTTTGCGTAACTATGGCCACTTAAATTATTTGACTGGGCGTTTTTGTGAAACGCAACGATTGCGTTCGGGAAAAAAAAAAAAAAAAAAAAAAATAATCGAGATTTTTGTCTTGCTTTCGTCGTAAAATCTCTGAAAACGTTCGGCGGCATTCGACAATTAAAACTGAAACCAGAAATTTTTTTCATATTTTTTAAAAATATTTCACCCCAAGCAAGACGATAAAGCCACTAAGACGCAACAATTTATCCATTGAAAAGGAGATTTAATGAGGAGAAAAGAGAATAAAAGAACAGGTTTCAGGCAGACGATGTCGATTGGCGTTGCATTTAAACTTTTGAAGATGGAACGAGAGCAAGGAATCGCAAGAGACTTCCACAGGCGAGAAGTGTGAAAAAAGAAATTACGGTTAGGTAGTTCAACAGAAAAAAAAACCCATGAGATCTGGTTGCCAATTGAGCAGTACGCTTAAATTTATGCAGTCGCAACACCAAAGGGGAAAGTTCATGAGAACAATTGTCATGAAAATGTTTGTAGAACAGACAGAGAGAAGCTAAGATAAGCCATATCATGGCGGTGGGTGTGTGTGTGTGTATGATATATATATATATATTAATTATAAAAGATTATAATAAAAACATTTTGAAATGTTTTATTATAATCACTTAAAATGAAAGAATACATTTTGAAAGCTTTCATGTTTCAATATTATGATTGTACATTTTCAGGTGATAGTAACTAAAGAGGTACAATCATAGCATTGAAACATGAAAGCTTTTGTAAAGGTTTCAAAAAGTTTTATTATAAAATTTATAATGGGATATATATATATATATATATATATATATATATATATATATATATATATATATATATAATGGCTCAAAGGGTTTTGACGAAAGCTAACCTTAGTCAAGAAACGGCTAAATCAATAAAAACTGCGCTCGGTTTAAGATATATAACTATATTTTAGAAAATATGCTTCTTGCTTAATTCACTGCCTCCCAATTTGGTATCGCCAGGCAGTAGCGTTTGCTGCCGGACGATATCAAATTAGTAGAAACCAAATTAACCAGGAAGCTTCGTTTTTATATATATATATATATATATATAATATATATATATATATATATATATATATATATATATACTAAATAATCTTATAGGTATAAGAATTTGTTTCGTCCGGAACTTCTTAGGTGTCTTTGATTTGTGAATAAACGAACCAATAACAAAGGGGGAAAAATGTACAAAAAAAGGAAGAACAAAATATGTACGTTAGCCGAAAATAATCGTCTAGTATTAAGTTCAGAGTCAATCAAAAACCCGATACGTGTAAGAAAATTAACTAAATAAATAAAGTGCTCGATACGCTAAGTTAGAGCGAAACCTAATTTAATGCTTCAAAGTTGAGGTTAGACTAAAACGGTTTCATTCTAACGGATCGTAAGGGACCCTGAGGGTCTACTATGAAGGCTTCAAAATTGTTTTGGAGAGAGAAGTGAATAGAATGGCTATGGACAGAGAGAAGTGAATAGAACGGCTGTTCACGCACGCAAACCCCACAGAGCTTAAGAAGTACGTGTGTATGTATGTACGTATGTGTGTGTATGTGTATACTGGTTCAATGTAGCTTGAGAAGCATGTGTGTGTATGTGTATGTGTGTATGTATGTGTGTGTATGTATGTGTGTGTATGTACTGATTCCTTGTGTTCGGGCGGTGTGTATGTGCGTATGTGTATGTATGTGTGTATGTGTACAAATGAGTTTACTAATTCCTCATAGTAAGACAGTATATGTATGGAGGGGAAATACACGCATGCTGAGAGAAACACACGAAAATGGAAACAGATCTAAGAACACTTAGGGGTCAGTAAAACATTAAAAGATAAAATGCCGATAAGTAATTCATCATTTCTTGGACCAACCTTAATTGTTTTATGACCCTTCGCGCAGAACTCTTCACTGCCAAATTCAAGAAAAGACATTCAGATTACTAACACAAAAAACAGAGAATGTCTCATATCGAGAATATTTAACATTAAAACCATAAGGGAAAAATTAATTATTTTTAGTAATATGTGGAAATCTCCGCTTTTACCTGAAGACGGTCCCGAGACCAGAAAGACGTGTAGTAAAATTATGGAAAATAAATCATAATATTTAAAAAAAAACACACATTACAACCAAAAACGTTTGCGGCACCTCTCTTCTCTACTTTTTAATATACACACATTTCTCTCGTTGGAAACACTACAACCTCTTTCTTTTATATATATATATATATATATATATATATATATATATGTGTGTGTGTGTGTGTGTGTGTGTGTGTGTGTGTGTGTGTGTGTAATTTTAAAGTTATGACGTGGTATAAACATGCTTTCTTTTGTTTGGCTGTCGTAGGGTGTTCTTATTAGCTTTTATGAAATACAGTGTAACCCGTATATAAGAGAAACCCGGATATAAGAGAGATTTTCTCTGGCCCCAAATTAGAGCCTGTGTTAATGTAAACAAAATAGACCAAACCCGGATATAAGAGAAACCCGGATATAAGAGACTTCTTCTGCGGTCCCGACAACTCTCTTACATCCGGGTTACACTGTATAACCAAAAGAAACTGATATTTAAGATATGGAGTGCTAAACTTATAATAACATGGAAAATATATTTCTCGTTTCGTTGCTTCTTGTAGGACTGCACCAAATATTCCTATCATACAAATGGTAAATGGAGATGGCGGGCAGTCTAAAATATTCTTTGTTTTTTTCGTTTTTGTTTGAGAGCATTAGGAGTGGAAAAATGTGGAAAGCAAAAGATCATGAGACAAGGCTAATTATTATTAGTCATTTCGATTTATTGTTATTCGAAACGGATGGACCGGGGTGGGAAGAAAGAGGAATATATATAAAACGAATATGAGAGAGATAAATGAAATGAAAATGAGAGATAAATCACACCAATATGAGAAATAGATAAGTAAAACAAATATGGAGAAAGAGATAGATAAATAAAAATAATATTTGGGTGAAGAGAGAGAGAGAGAGAAAGAGAGAGAGAGAAAGAGAGAGAGAGAATAAATTAAATGCCGGTGGCTCGATAGAGAAAAACAGGTTTGATGTTAGATAGAAATAAATCGTTTATGACCGGAGGGTGAAATAAAAGAAATGAAAAAGATAGTAATAAAAAAGATATGACTATAGACAGAAATAAAACGAATATAACTGGATTTTGGAACAGCACGAATATGAGGAGCGATATAAAAGGTATAAGTGGATAGAGTAATGAATTGGTTAATAACTGAGAGAGAAGTGAATAGAATGGCTAGAGAGAGAGAGAGAGAGAGAGAGAGACGTGAATAGAACTGCCATGAACAGAGAGAAGTGAATAGAAGGGCTATGAACAGAGAGAGAAGTGAATAGAACGGCTATGAACGGAGAGAGAAGTGAATAGAATGGGTATGAACGGAGAGAGAAGTGAATAGAATGGCTATGAACAGAGAGAGAAGTGAATAGAACGGCTATGAACGGAGAGAGAAGTGAATGGAAGGGCTATGAACGGGGAGAGAAGTGAATGGAAGGGCTATGAACAGAGAGAGAAGTGAATAGAACGGCTATGAACGGAGAGAGAAGTGAATAAAATGAAAATGAATGGAGAAGGAATTGACTACAACATATGAATTAAGAGAGAAACGAATAGAATGTTTATGAACACCCACCCACACACACACACACAGAAGTGAACAGAACAGCTATAGACAGAGAGAAGTATATAGAACGGTTATGAACAGAGAGAGAAGTGAATAGAACGGCTATGAATAAGAAGAGAATTGTATAGAACGGCTGTGAACGACGAGAAGTGTATAGAACGGTTATCAATGGAGTAAGAAGTGGATAGAGCAGATATGAATAGAGTGAGAAATGAATAGAACAGTTCTGAAAGGAGAGAGAAGTGAATAGAACGGAGATGAACGGAAAGTGAAGTGAATAGAATGGCTATGAACGGAGAGAAAAGTGAATAGAATGGCTATGAACGGAGAGAAAAGTGAATAGAATGGCTATGAACGGAGAGAGAAGTGAATAGAATGGGTATGAACAGAGAGAGAAGTGAATAGAATGGCTATGAACGGAGAGAGAAGTGAATAGAACGGCTATGAACGGAGAGAGAAGTGAATAGAATGGCTATGAACGGAGAGAGAAGTGAATAGAACGGCTATGAACGGAGAGAGAAGTGAATAGAATGGGTATGAACGGAGAGAGAAGTGAATAGAATGGGTATGAACGGAGAGAGAAGTGAATAGAATGGGTATGAACAGAGAGAGAAGTGAATAGAAGGGCTATCAACGGAGAGAGAAGTGAATAGAAGGGCTATGAACGGAGAAGGAAATGACTGCAACATATGAATTAGGTGAGAAACGAATAGAACGGTTATGAACACACACACATGCACACACACACACACACACACACAAGTGAATAGAACAGCTATAGACAGAGAGAAATGTATAGAACGGTTATGAACAGAGAGAGAACTGAATAGAACAGCTATGAACAGAAAGGGAAGTGAATAGAACGGCTATGGATAAGAAGAGAATTGTATAGAACGGCTGTGAACGACGAGAAGTGAATAGAACGGTTATCAATGGAGTAAGAAGTGGATAGAGCAGCTATGAATAGAGTGAGAAATGAATAGAACAGTTCTGAAAGGAGAGAGAAGTGAATAGAACGGAGATGAACGGAAAGTGAAGTGAATAGAATGGTTGTGAACGAAGAGAGAAGTGAATAGAACGGTTACGAATGGAGTGAGAAGTGAATAGAACAGTTATAAGCGGAGAGAGTAGTGAATAGAAAGGTTGTGAACAGAAAAAGAAATGAATCAAATGAATATGAATGGAGAAAGAAATGCCTACAACATATGTATTATGAGAGAGACGAATTGAACATCTATGAACGTGATAGAGGAAGTAAATGGAATATAAATGAAGTTGAAATGAAGTACTTGTCATATATAAAATTACTAGCAGCATGGCCCGGCGTTGCCCGTGCTTGATTCAAAAATCGTACGACTCAAACAGCAATCGCTATCACTTGACTCAAAATATTTTTGCCATTCCTTGCCTTTAAAGGGTGACCTTTGCCGTGCTGATGTTGCTACATGCCTTACTTCTTGCCTTCTCACACTACGATTTTTTCTAAGCTCTATACTAAACATTAAATCTGTTACGAAAAAGAACTAAACAAAATGAACACTAAACGATCAGCTTTAAAAAGGACTCGTAACTGGAAAAACCGAATGAAAAAGAATGTTAACAACAAATACTTTTCACACCAAACCCGGTTCTGCGGAATCAGAATCAACGTTGAGTTTAAGCAAGCGAATGAGCCAATTGGTGTAAAGTGCCATGCTGATTTAAATTTTTCCCACTTGTGACGAATGCAGCTATCGATTTTTTTTTGCATGCTAGTTAGCATTCGTGTCAGTCAGCTGTTGGCTCTCATGTTGGCCAATAGAATCTTCCTGCCTATTCGTGGCAGCCAGCTATATGCTCTCACTCTGGCCAGTAGAAAATGACCGCAAACTACATGAAAACTGGCGTAGAAGCATGAAAAAATCGATTATTTCCACTATCGATGGGAGTTGGGAAATGCAAAGTCGATCTTTGCCTTCCTGCTAACTTGGAGCATGTGCATGTAAATTTTGGCGCAAATCCGTCGAAAATTGCGGCTGTGCATTCGTTACACACACACACACACACACACAAGCACACACACACACGCACATCCTACCTTTTATAGATAGAGATTTAAAAAAAATGTGTGAAGCTCGCATTGAAAATAGAAATTTGCTGTGAGAAACCATATCTGATTGTTCTACAATGACAATCAATAAAAGTTGATACTGGAAAACATAGATTCGTTTAAGCTGTGGTAATTTGCAGGAGGCTATCAGAGAGAAATATCTAAACAGAAAAAAGTTCTTTTGCAATAGATCTTTAATTTTTGTTATTTTTGTTTTTAGTCATTTATCGATTTATTTTAAGCCTGACTAAGAATGGAATTAAAAGACATCAGAGTTTTCTGCGTTGCATGTGACAGTCCGAAAAATGGTGAACTGCGTCGAATTCAGAAGAATCCCTGCGACTTAAGCATTTTTTAAATAAAAAATCTTTGAATCTTTTCTGTTCATCCACCCCAAAATATTAATTCGCTTCAAAATAAAAAAATAAATTATATTTATTAAAATTCACATCATAGCGTGATCCCTCTATTGCACTCCTGTTGGCTTGACGTTTGCGATCTCCCCAAATGTTTGCGACTCGGATGGGCTATTTCTAAGTGTGGGGTCTGCGTTCGCAGTCACCAAGCCAAAAACTTAAAAATTGTAAAGATTCCTTGTAAGTACCCCGAATATCATCCGCATTTACGAAATGTGAATAAATCTCAGGCTTTTGGTATTTTTTTCATTCTTAGGGTTGGATTTGTTACGAGGTAAGCTAAACAATTTTTTACTTAAAATTTATAATTTCAAAAGGGTGTCAAAAATTTAGTAAATAAAAAAAAATTGATTTAAAGTTTCTTAGGATGCCTTAATATTTGCGATAAGTAACTTTACATTATTTGGGGTGAATTAACAAAAGAGATCCAAATATTAGACAAAATGGAGTCGCGAAGCGAAATGCTGGGGTCGCTAAAATAAATTCAATCACACGAATTTCAGTTTCTGAGTTATTTCAAAAACGCACAATATTTAACGTGATGCGCAATTGTGTTCATCTTAATAAGTAACAATATGTGTTATTGTTTTATTCGAATGACATCGGCATTTATGTAAAAACCTAGAAGATGCTTTACGTCCAGCTGTGTCAAATATTCCAGCGAGGTTTAATTTGTGATGCAGCAAAAACCAAACACATCGGTCACATTGATTTTTACTTGCGTTTAGTTTTGTTTTACTTTGCTTTATTTTTATACTTGAAACATTTACTTTGTTTTATTTTTATTCTTGAAACATTTACTTTGTTTTATTTTGGGACTTGAAACAACTACTTTGCTTTATTTTTCTACTTGAAACATTTACTTTATTTTTCTACTTAAAACAAATCCTAAAGCTACTTTTATTTTGATTAATAATATAGCTACATTTTTATATGTATATTTTCCAGTAAAAATAAATGACTTATGTATTTATTTGTATGTTTTATTTCCTATTTAATACCTGGGCTCGCGAAAAATATTGTTGTGAAAAATAGGGTCATGAATGAAAAAAGTTTAAGAAGCGCTGCTATAGAGGAAGGCTTATCAGAACAATTACCTGAGCTGTAGTATTTGAGTAGTCTTTTGTTCACAGCATGATGTATGCTCACATAACATCCTTCCAATTCAATCTCGTCTATTCTACGTTTTTTTATTATTTCATTGAGTTTGACCGTTACTGTGAATCGTCCGCTGACGATGTTTATTCTGAACCATTTGCAGGAATAACATTAGCAGCATATTTTTGACTCCAGAATGGATTCTGTTCTTCAAGTGCTTGGGCAGATGAGAAATGACGTACTTTCTCTTATTCTATGTGCTCTGTGTCTTCAGGAAGTTTACGATCATGGCTCTCCACAATTTACTGTTCTTTTTAGCTCTTAATATTTTTTTATCTCTCGTAAACCCTCTTCTGTCATATTATACGGAATCTCGTTAAGTAGGTGATGCGCTGTTTTCATCTCTCCCTCTGGCCTTCAATCTGTCCTGTGAGTATCAAATTTCCCAAGCCTTCTTTCCTCATTATGAGCCATAGAAATTCCAGCTGTCATTTTTAGATGTTAAGTATAAGTGTCCTTTTTGGTTTGGTTTGGTTTGCTTTGTTTTACGGCACATCAAGCTCAATGGGTCACTTAATGCCGGCAAAATTTTTTATTGCTGACAATATTTTTTTCAAACATGTATTGCTGGTAATATTTAAAAAAAAAAAAAAATTTTTTCAAAAATGTATTTCTGGTAATATTCTTTTTTTTTTTTCCAAAAATGTATTACTGGTAAAAAAAAAAAATTCCAAAAAAGTATCGCTGGTATTAAAACCTATTTTTATACTTTCATAGTGGTTTGACTCCTTTTAAGGGTGGGGGTAACTATTTACCCATAGCTGGGAGTCTGAAAGGTGCTACCATCCCGGGTCAGGGTGGACCTGGGAATACCAGAAATTAAGATCTGGTTCCACGTTCCTCAAAACCTGGGCAAATAACTGATCAGAGGCCTTGCTGTTGGATGTAGTTTCCCGTCTTACCCAGGACGCGGATGTAGTTTACCGTCTCACCCAGGACTCGGATGTAGTTTATTGTCATACCCAGGACGGGTGTCTTTTTTGTTTCCATTATCTCTAAAACTTCGTCGTTCATGGTTGTTATAGTGGATATATTAACTATTCTATAGTTAATAGACTCTCCCACCTATAATAATTAGGAGTAGTAATAGTAACGAGTCAGTTGCTCGGTCGCTCAGTGGGTCGGTCAGTCAGTCGATGCCGGACGACCGTTAGTCGGATACTAAAGTATCAGCGACTACAACTAGATTACTCTGCGTCAAACCTATTATATAAAGTTCCTAACGTTTTGTTACGTCGAATCTATTTTAGGAACGACTTCACTGTGAAACCACTTCATAACACTTGACGACGAGGTATTCGGATTCATACGGTGGAAGAAAAAAAAATTCACACACCATAACAATGTTATTCTCAGGATCCTTCTGTAGAACCACATTTCTGTCTTCTTTTTTTTTTTCAAGTATTTTCTTTATCTGTGCCGAGATTGTACAACATTTAGTGCCATATAGGAACGCTGATGTTACGTAACAATTCACCGCTCTTTTCTTTGTTTCTAACAAAATGTTCCTGTCTCTTAATACTTTGCTGAGCTTTTGGAAGGCGTCTTTCGCTATAACAATGCGTCTTCCAATTTCAGTGACGCATTTTTCCGTCCTCTGTTAAAACATTTCGCAAATATTCAAATTGATGCACGTGTTTGATTTTCGTGTTTCCAATTTATGAATTGCATGTTGCGCTACTTATTTTCCTAACAACCATCAATTCTGTCTTCTTACAATTGAATTGCAATTTTTTCCATTTTATCTTTTTCGGTAATGAGAATTTTGATCGTGGCATCACACAGACGTTAATGCATACGCGCTTACAGGTGGTGTAATTGACAGCGGTTCGGAAGGAGAAATCGAAAAGCTATATGCATCTGTTCTCTGTATACAGATCGTTCGAAAGGTGTGGTTCGTTCGGCACGAGCCAAAAATACAATAAAAAATCATATATATGCGTAGTCTGACTGTTCTAACAGCAGAATTGGTTGAACCCTTATAGCCGAAAGCAACGGGAGAGTCAATCATCTCTCTCTCTCTCTCCCTCTCTCTCCCTCTCCCTCTCTCTCCCTCTCCCTCTCTCTCTCCTCTCTCTCTCTCTCTATATCTCTATATATATATATATATATATATATATATATATATATATATATAGGTAGATAGATATACAGTGCTGTTCGATAAATGTGATATGTTTTGTCTATTGTTTTTAGGGTTAAAATAATTTTTAATCTTACTAATATAAAGACCCCTTCCCAACCACCTAGGAAAAAAGTTTATTCACCCTAAAGTATTGTATTGATAATTATAAATTTGGATATAAATGAGATTCGGCAAAAAAAAAGTGACTCAGATATCGCATTCTAATAATTAAACTGGTAAATTTAAGGAGCTTTTCACAAAATATTGAAAACTATTTTACAATACACTCAGAACAATATTCTAGAGAATTCTAGAACAGCTTAAATTAAATCTAGAGTATTCCAGAATATTCCAGAAAGCCTCATACTGTATAAAAACAGCTTGAAATAACTACTGAAGTCACTAATCAGAAGAAAGTGTAAAAAACACGCATAAGAACCGCTCAA